TTTGGTCCAAGTGTGCATGATTATAAATTGAACCCCTAAAACATTCCAAGAACTAATAGATACACTTGTAAAAAGTAAATAAGAGCTTATATAGCAGTCGTAAAACACACTAAATCAATGTATCACATCATTATAGGGGGGACTTCGTCCCCAATAAATGCCCAACGAAATCTTAAAGAAGGTTTTATAAAATAAATAATTTCAGGAACTGTACGTTATTTATTAAAAATAATATATAGTTTTAGGAAAAATAAGCTTCAGGTTTTTTAACCAATATTTTTTTACCTTGTAGTTTTGGCCAAAAAAGAAAATCAGCAAGACAAGCATGGTGACCCCTGGCATGGACGAAGGCGTGTTCCTCGTGGATGATGCCATTTTTTCGGCCAGCGAGGCACACCGGATGACGCCCGAAGAGGAGCTAGCCGCTATCCAACCGCGCCCGATGGGTGAGATTCTTTACATCGCGTCTGTCGTTGCGCAGCATAGGTTTCCAGTGGAGGTGGTGAACAACGTTCTCGAGTTCGCCGGGGTGTTGCTCGCCTTCCAGGCCGAAACTACAGAGTTTCGTCGCGGACGTAGCGATATGGATGAGGATTATCTGCAGCTGCAGCTTCCCACCGCCGAGGAATTAGATATTCCACCTGGAGTGGACGTAAGTAAATGCTCGCTGCTGGTGGCAGACTGTGTGTCTAAAGATCAGGGATGGGCCACCGATGGACGCGAACATAATGGCACGTACCGCGAGTCAAGCTCCTGGTCCGAGGTGGCGGTGACGTCGGTAAATACGATGGGAGAGAACAGAGAGACGGCGCGCGCGCTATTCTGTCCGAACCTTCGTGCCGGCAGGAATTTCCGTCACCACCGTAAGTACTTCGGCAGCTCCGCAGACCTGCTGCACCATATCAAGCTTGGCGATTGTGTGTCGATCGTTCTCCGGTCGCAGTATCCCGGGTGGACAAACTCGGCCAAGTACGGTCGACTCGCGGTCTGCTTTGCAGTGGAGCTGAACGACAACTTCTCGTTTACCGACATCTCGTTTCCTAGCAGCACTAACGAAATGGAGAGCGCAGGTCCCTCTATTCCGTGTAGTCTTCAGTAAGAGGAGGCCATCTCGACTCATTTTTTATTAGCTCTGTCATTCCAATCAGACGCTTAACTCACGAATTTCAGTCGTGCTTTCAATCGATGATCCACACTAGCTTATAGTTTTTTTTTAAAAGAAAGTTTCAGATGGAGTGGTGCGTTGTATAGCTACCGTAGCACAGCCGAGGTGATGCGTGCTCCCGCTATTAGTGTCGCTGTGGTCTCCAGCACACGCATTTGACGCCCTTTGGTTACGCAGCGCAATGCAAAAACTAAGCGGCAACATTCTTGTTCGTGTTGGAGGAGACTGACAACAGTCTGGGAATTTTAGAGGAGACGGACAGCAATCTCCTCTAAAATTCTCCACGAAAAGAGTTTTGCGAACAGTTATTTTTGTGTTCAGAACAACAATGACTCGACAACGGTCTCCTCTATCATTGGCCGCGGCATCTGTGACTTGCCCAACCGAGATTCATGGCGGTTGCAGTTGCTGCACTGCCGCCACTTCGAATTTGACTTCACGGCCACGTAAGGGCAATGCTGCAGCGACTCGGAGTACGGACGCGTTCGGGTTTCGCGGCGCTGCCACATGCTCTCATATTGGCGGCGCTGGCGGTTGCTGTCGTAAAAGCGCAAACACTGCGTACTGAGCGGGCAGTAGACACACTATTGCCCGCAGAAGAAGCTGTCATCCCAGAAGTTGACGCGTCCATCGGGCTGACCCAGCGCGAGGTCTTCGGTATGGCTCTAGCGGCGCTCGTCATCTTCGTCGCTGCAGGAGGAGGCACTGGAGGTGGAGGAGTGCTAGATCCAATCTACATCCTCATCGTCGGGCTAGATGCCAAGGTGCGATACATGTACACTGCAATATCGTGCTGGTAGTCTTATTAACTATTACGCGGTCACTGGGTAGACTGCTATCCCCCTCTCCAGTATCACGATTCTCGGCGGAGGTACGTTTTGAATACGTGTTCCACTATGTTCGCCGTGTTTAGTGTTTGCTAACGGCGTGTTCCTCAGCAATCGGCAACTTCTTTCTGAATCTTCGCCGCACCCGCGACAATTCGACTCAACCGCTTATTGACTGGGATGTCATTCTTGTGATGCAACCACTTCTCCTGTGTACGTTGCTGTTTCAATCGATTTCGGTATTACATGCATGTTTACTAACAATGATGGTTCAGTGGGAGCTACCTGCGGCACCTTCCTCAACACGATAATGCCTACGTGGCTCCTGTGTGTTCTGTTAGTGCTATTGCTCAGTGTGACCGGCACACGTACACTACAGAAGGCTATAAAAGCGCGCCAAAAAGAGCGCTGGCAATGCGGTGTCGCGCCCGAGGCGACATCCCTCCTCGGCATTGATTCATCCTCCGTTGACTCCATGAAGACCCACAGCAAAGCAGAGCCGGAAGTACTCCCTCGCGCAGACCCGCCATGGCAGAAGCTTGCAACACTTGCTGGTCTGTTCGTGGTAGTCGCCGCGATGAGAATTCTCCGAGGGGGAAAGAACTTTGACAGCCCCGTTGGCATCGATTCATCGTCGATTCTTTATCCAGTACTCGTGACATTGCCTTACGCTGTCCTCATCGGTGTTAGCTACTTTTCGCTGATGAATCTGGGGGCCACGTACGAAAAGCAGCAAAGCCCCGGATACGAGCTCGAAGCACACGAAATCAAGTGGACATCGTCGTCGATTCGATTCTTCCCTGTGTGCTCATTCGCGGCTGGAGCAGTCTCTGGCATGTTCGGCATCGGCGGAGGAATCATCAACGGCCCGCTTCTGCTTGAGGTAGGAGTCGACCCCTCGGCCGCTTCGGCAATGACCGCCACCACCGTGCTTTTCTCCAGCGGAAGTAAGTCCGACACGTGTTTGATCGTTTCTTGTTATCATAGCGCTAACAATTGCCTGTGCGTTGTTCAGTGTCATCTCTCAATTATGCAACAATGGGGAAGATGGATCTCCACCTGGCGCAGCTCATGCTGCCAATGGGTCTAGTTACCACGTACGTCGGCCACTTGTGTCTGCTGAAGGTCGTACGTCACTACAACTGCCCGTCAATGATTATCTTTTCCATGGCCACGATTGTCCTCATCAGCGCCATCGCCATGAGCATCGAGAGCGTTCGAGCGTTGCTCGCGTAAAAAATACCTGAATATTAACATTAACCCAAAATTTCAAATAACGCTAACCAATGAAATCATTTTGGCGTACAATGCATCCAATCATGTCTCTCCTGACTCATTCTCTCCCTCCTCAACGTCATTTTTAGATTCACTCGCTTCAACAAAGAGAACGAGAACGATGGGCCTTCGAGGAGATCTCGTGCGTGGTCTGGCAGTCTTAACACTCGGTGCGGCATTGATAGTAGCTCAACCACCACACGGGAAAGAAGATCCTGTGAAGTTTGGCCCCGTCCCAACGTTCCCGTCGCAGGACGAGCCATACGAGCCGCGTGAAGTGTTGCGCTCTGTCGAGAAACCCCACGAGCTACTTGGGATTCTGCTTGCTGCGTTGGTGGTGCTCATCTCGTCTGGATCAAAGATCGGTGGTGGAGCTGTGCTCGATGCCGTCTACATTTTGGTGCTGAAGCTGGGACCGGATGTACGGGGCATTGAGGCTTGCTGCGAAGCAGAGGAAGGGAGCATATTGTTCTCACTGGGGCGCTGTGTAATTGACTGTGTAGGAGGCCATCCCGCTGGCGAGCATTACTGTTTTCGGGGGAGGTAAGATTTTTTTGTCGTGGATGCTGGAGATGCAAATTGATGGAGAGCTTGTAAACGTATGAAGCACGCCTTCTTTCTCTACAGGTTTTGGGCACCAGGAGCATTGGAAACAGGAAGACCGTACGATTTTTTTTTGTCCTGTGGAATGCCATGATCTTCTTGGATCCGATGCCCAACCCGTCAAGCATGCTCCTGTCGACGGTCCCAGCCACACTCACCCGTGGCGACAGATCCCAGCCACAGCTTACCCAAACGTCGGCGTCCCCTGCTACAGCGTTCAAGCAGCGACGGTAGCTGCTGTCCACCCAGACGTTGGTGGTCCTCTGCTACGGCTCGTCTTGGCGGCGACGGTCCCCAATTGCTGCTCTTCCAGACGTCGACGACGCGTCGGACGCCCCCCAGACACAGCCCAATGCTCCCAGTGCTCTTCCTCCTCTTCCGTCGCTTGAAAGCGAGTCGCCTCTGGAGAGGCGACTCTTCAGTATAGCCTTGCTTTTTACAAGCTCCACTTCTTACCAGCTT